GAGGGTTTGTGGAGGAGCCACAATCGGCGGAGACGCAGCCAACAGCGCAAGCTACCGAGGTGGTCGCGGATCTCACGGCTACAGCGGAGGATCCTCTGAAGGCAGTGGATAAGGAGACGGGCATCTCTTCGCTGCCAGAAACTAACAATGATGCGGCCATGAGCGACGCGGCCGTCTCAGGAATTCCAACTGCACCTCCGCATGAGGAGGCGCAGGTTGAAGGATCCGATGCAGCAGATAATAAAAACGCGCCGGCAGCGTTTCCGGAGGCTGATGGTGATGCAGCCATGGGCGATGTCACTGTCTACAGAGACGAAAACGTTGTCGCTGAGCCGGAGACTGTTCCCGTCGCGCCACCGCGGACTGCTGCTGGTGCAACTCTGGGCGATGTGGCCGTTTCGACTGAGGGATCTATCGCTCCCGAGCAGGCGACTGCGCCAAATGCCACTGCAGATGCAGATACGACCATGGGCGATGTGGCCGTTCCTAGTGGCACGACTGTCATCACCCAGCCGGAAGTTCCCGTTTCAGAACGCAATGACCATGATGATAGGGCGGCACCTTTCATGGACACTGCAGTGTCGAATGAGCGAAAAGCCAGTGCCGCGCCTGCCGCTCAAATTCAGGCCCCTTCGGACACTGCTCTCTCGGAATCCGCTCAGCCTACCAAAGCCGAGGAGCCAGCGCCTTCAACGCCTGCTACTGCGGAGCCGTCGAGGTCCGTAGATGTCCAGCCACAATCTCTACCATCGGAGTCTGCGATTGAACCCTCTCCTGAACCTGCGCACAGCGGATCGATTTGGTCTGCCTTTGTGTGGCCTGCGTTACCTCTTTCGAATTTCCAGGAGCCTTCTGAAAATGAGATCCCTGCAGCTGGTATAGATGCAGCAGTAGTGGCGTCTACTGAAGCAAGTCTGCTAGAACTTGAGCCTGTCGTCCAAGTCGACGGCTCAGGTTCTGTGACACCGACATTATCGAAAGATTCCATAGCCGAGTCCTTCATGCAACCAAATGATGAGACTGTGCCTGCGGACACAGATGCTGCCACGTACACTGCGCCAGGAGCAGAGAGTCAGGGCGTCAAAGGCGCAGTTGACGAAGATATGGGAACCGTACAAGAAAACGTCAAACCCCACGACGATGGATCCGACGCTGCGGAGGTTTTGGAAGATGTCAAAGGCGATAAGGGTGCCCAGGTTCCGACTCAGCAGAAGCCGGCATATACGGACGTCGAGCCATCAATTCCAAGCGCAGAAGAGTCTCGCAGCGCCGTAACCGAGGACATTGAGATGTCTGAAGAGGACACGAGTGGCCCCAGCCAGACTCCTGCAGAAGAGGGGACAGCAGCTGCTTATATAGACGTCGAGCCGAATTCAACGGAGCCGATCCAGGCCGTGTCTCAAGGACCTCCCACTGAGGATGTGGAGATGGCCGAGACTGAAGTAGTCGAGACTAATCCAGCAGAAGCAGAGCTATTAGGTGAAGCGCGCGCAGATTCAGACCCTGAAGTTACACCTGTTCATGAAGACTCGTCCCGTGAGATAACCGACGTCCTAATGGTAGCACCGGTCCTCGAGAGCCAACCGACGGCGTCACCGGTCGCTGACGTGCACCGTGAGGATGCTATCTCTGCGCCAGGTGCTGAGCCTATAACCCTCGACATTTTGCCGCATTCAATCCCCTCCGGGAATGACAGAGAGGGATACCCGTACCTTGCCATTTATGGCGGCGCGTCCTCTGAGCTCGGTGTTACAAAGACAGCAACTGTAGACAAAGTAGAGCCTTCTGCTGCCCAAATCGTCGATGCCGCCCTGGATGCTGAAGAGGCGCTGAAGCAAGCCCCAGATGCGCCATCAGACGCTGCTGAGCGGGCTGACGCATCTGCTGGTTCTGTGACTGAGCCAAATCCCTCGCCAGAGAGTCATTTCGTAATGCTGTACTCGATGAAATGTCTGCCTGGGCCCCGGCAGCACCAGCATGTTCTCGAATTTCACTTGAATGTCGAGCAGCATGGGATTGTTCGTCAATGGTCAAATCGAAGGTCTATACCAGGTAACAGCTTCGAGAGTGGGCTGTGTATCAGCTTGGTGTGCTATCGGTCAACAAATCTTCCTTTGGTAGACCAGGATGCGACGGCACGTCCCAGAGCGGAGTGGCCTAACACTGGGACGATGTGGGCAGTGATCAACGAAAGCGAGGGACGCGAGTTATACCTTGTACCGGCCTTCCACGTGAGTGTCCACGGTACGTGTTCCATGAGATTGTCTAACATCTCTCCTTAACAGATCGACAAGGACGGTTTGGTCGACATCTCTTCTTACATTAAGGAGGGCGACAACAGGATGCAAGTCTTCTACAGTGGATGCTCCTCCGACTACACTGTTGTACTGCAAGCTCACTCTCCAACACCTACGCAAGCACAGCTTGAAAGAGATAGGCGGCGAAAGGATTTAGAGAGGGCGACTTACCTGACAAAGTTGGCAGAGCCGATAAAACTGCCCAACTTTAATTGGGATACCGGGATGTTTGAGACTGCCTGATGTCTTGGATCTGCGTATCAATCTAGTAGTGTAGCAAACTTGTATATATATTGTTGCTTTTCTTGGAATTCTCGCGCGTGCTTGCCACACTTCCGCACGGGATGCGTGACATGTTACACAGGCGTCCGGGCCATGTGACTGGACGTGCTCATCCAGACGCGCCTCCGTAATCGGCGCCACACTCATTCTCAACAAGTCTGTCTCCGTCTTACTGCTCTGCCTTATGTCTTCTCAGGCAGCAATTGACTATCTGACGAAGAAAGTGACGATACTAAAAGGCATTGTACGTCTCCAATGGAATCCCAATAACAACTGCTAAAGCTGCACGTAGGTCACATACCGCTCTCTGTCTCGAGGTCTTAACATCCATGTGTCGACTGCAAAGGAGTGAGGATTTCCATTCTTTGGAATAGCTTCTGTTAGTTAACGGCATTATCGCCAATCAGGGAGCTCGCAGCTTTTCACAGAGCATCGAAGGATGCGGATCAAGCCGTCCATGCTACCTACGTCGTGACCGGAGAAGTCGATCTGAGCTCACCACCTTCAAGCCAAGATGGAAGTGGAATGGACGTTGACTATGAAGAAGGGGCATCGCGCGATAGGTCGATGAGACAGACGAAGGTGGCCTTGGTGGGAGAAGAGAATCTAGAGAGTACGTTCCGTGACATCAAAAAGTTCCAACGTAACCGAGCGGCCCTTAGAGGCAAAGTCACAGTTCTCTCGAATCTTCTCTGTCCATGTCTACAGTCTATCATCTGCACGACTACGTGTACGTCCTCGTCCCGCATGCACGGGACCATTGCAAACTAAGATGCACTAGGATGCCGCCTTTGTATGCGAGCCCACCGAGGGCGTGCGACAAACAGATGCCAAGAAGGGCCTCGAGTTTGCTATTGCTCTGGGCAAGGTAGTCGGTGCTGACGTTCAGGTAGGCTGCGCGCTGTTCTCTATTGATCATTCTCATTCAAGTCGAACTACTTATTTTAGAAGAAACCCAAGGGTAAAGCCACCGCTGTTTCCGCATCCACTCTTGCGAAGTCAGCTTCTGCTCCCGCGTCCAAACCTATCGCTACCAGCAAACCGGCTGAGACGAAACCCAAGGACACCGAGGAACCTGCAAAGGCCACGCAAGACAAGAAGAAGCAGCTAGAAATGAAACAAGAGGACGTCAAGCCGGAGCCGGAGAAGGAGAAACCGAAGGCCAAGGCGAAGAGTATGTCGGAATGGATGAAATCACAACCCAAGGATACGAAGAAAGCCACTAAGGCGTCCTCCGATGTCAAGGTAAAAGCAGAAGAGAAGGATATGACTATGAAAGACGAGGCGAAGGCGCCTGCTAAGGCAAGGCCTGATTGTCTTTCCCACGAATCACCTGGAGTACTGACAATCGTGCTCCTCACAGAGAGGCGTCAAACGCAAATCAGACGTCCGCGCTGTGGAAGAAGCGGTCTCCAACTCTGACCAGGAGATGTCCACATCCACTGCCAAGTCCGCTCCCATCCCTGCGCCTCCTCCTGTATCCAAGGTGCCGTCCTCTGTGAAGGTCAAGAAAGGCGTTCTGCTATCCGACGATGACGAAGAGGACGTCCCCAAGCCTGCTAAAGGCAAGGGCAAGGCGAAAGCAAGAACGCAAGCGGCAGACTCAGACACTGAGGCTGAGAGGAGTCTGAAGGCTATGATGGATATCGACGATGGTATGTCGGCATCCTTTGATCTGCATACAAGCAACCGGCTGACAATTAATGGCAAAGACCAAGTCATTAAAGCCTCGACCACCCGCTCAGCACAACTCGAAGACAGAGACAAAGACGTCGACATGGCTGAACAAGAAGCAGGATCAGAAGCAGCAGAAGACGATATCCAAGAACCGGAACCGACCAAGTCCAAGTCTCGTAGGCGAAAAGAGAAGAAAGAAATCCCCGTGGGCCGCAACGGTCTGAAGAAGAAGCGCGTCGTGAAGAGCAGAATGAAGGTGGACGAGAAGGGGTATATGGGTGAGTGTGCCTCGTCGTTGGTCTGTCAGAGTTCGTGGCACTGAAAATGTCTATTGTCTAGTCACGGAGGACTACTCTGAGTACGAATCCGTCGACGAGGAAGAACCCGAACCGGAGAAACCCAAAACCAAGTCCAGAGGCAAGGCTGCGAAGAGTGCTGAGCCCGCCTTGGAGCCGGAAGGCAAGGTAAAACCTAGTGGGCCAGCCGAAGGGGGTGCATCAAAATCCACTGGGAGTAAGTCCTCGTCGAGCGGAAAGAAGGCGAGTGGACAGCAGGGACTGGGGAATTTCTTTCAAGCGAAGTCTAAGAAATGATCAAGACTGTTAAGTCCTGATGCTGGTTTCTTGTATGCGCATGTATTGGATTCTACCTTGTGAATTCGGGCTTGTCGGTTCCGCTTGCTGGATGCTTCCCGAATGCGAGTCCAATGCCATGTTCGCGAAATATACCAAAATAGAAGAAAAGTGTCTCGACCCAGGATCGAACTGGGAACCGTGTGTGCACAGCCGTTGCAATATGCAACGTCGTAACCAAGCCTCTGTGAGCCAACTACTTGTGAGACACAAATCATAACCATTAGACCATCGAGACGATGATAAACCTCGGTTCGGGTTTTATTAGTAGCCCAGCACATGAATAAATGCTGGAGGTCGTTTTCTGAGTACACTCATCCTACACCCCGACCACATGAATACTGCCATGGAAAGCACTTAAACCAGCTTTCCACTGCGTCACTCATCCGAACATCGCGTTGCGTGCTCTACAAGTATTCCTTTGCAAAATCAGAACGAATATGAATACACAAGAAATAAGGATACACATCAGTCATGCAGTCGTGTCATACCACCTCTGTAATCGCGGGCTCAGGATCCTTGACATCGTCCTTCGACTGCCCGTCGTCGCTCGATGCCTCCGATTGCTCTCCTGCCGCCCGCAACTCCCCGACGCTCGCGGCTCTTCTCCTTCCCAGGAAGACCTTCCCTCCCGGCGCATCCTGCAAAGCCCGGACCACCACGTCCTTCTCGAACAGATACTTAATATCCTCCAACGCGTACCCGGTTGTCTCGGGCAGCAAACAGTACGCCCACGCCGCCATGATGATGCAGAAGACGCCAAAGAGCAGGAACGTCCCGTACGTGATCGAGTCGAGCATGATCGGCGTGATCTTCCCAATCGTGAACGCGAACAGCCAGTTGACTGCGACTGCTACGGCAAGTGCGGCGGTGCGGACATGGTTGGGGGCTACCTCGCTCGCGACGACCCACGGCACGGGTCCCCAGCCGATGCAGTAGCCCACGGCGTAGAGGTAGACGCAGACGATGGATACGTAGCTTGCGGGCACTACGGAGTCGCTGTCGTGCACAGCCTGGAAACCGCCGATCCAGAGCATCGTCACGCCTTGTATAAGAGCTCCGTAGATAAGGCAGCGCTTCCTGCCCATGCCCTCCACCGCGAGCACGAGCGTGAGGAAGACGGCTATGACCTTGACAATACCGTATACGCCGGTGGCGAGCAGACCTGACGTCGTGCCCGAGATACCGAGACCAGCGAAGATCTCGGGGCTGTAGTAATTGATCGCGTTCGTGCCCGTCCATTGTTGGAAGAACATGACCAGCGAAGGAATGAAGCACCGCAACGCTGTCCGCCATGATTCGCCCATCATGCGGAACTGCTTCCACACCGACGTCTTCTCTTTGCCTTCGAAATCTGCTTTGATCTCCGCCATGGTTGCTTGTACAGCCGGATCGTCTGTGGCTTTGCCGGCAGCGAAGGAAAGAGACTTGGCGGCGCGTTCGTACTCGCCGTGTTCCACCAGCCATCGCGGAGACTCTGGCTGGAAGACCATGAGCAGAATGAACAGCGCCCCTGGGATAATCTGGATGATGAAGGGCATGCGCCACTGCATCTCGGCGTAAGGCATGTTCTGGTTTGATCCATAGTTAACCCAGACTATGTTAAGGGAGTCAATAAAAAGGCAGCTGCATTTTGACAAGTATACGTACAACTCAGCATGATTCCGACATTATTGGCGAGTTGGCCCATGCCCGTGCATCTGCCTCTGATAGCGCGAGGGACGGATTCTGAAATGTAGGATGGGACGAGCGCTGACTCCATGCCCACACCAACGCCTCCAAGGAAGCGGCCAAAGTATAATAGTCGCAGTGCGACCGTCTGGCTCATGCCCAGTCCGCAAATGCACTGAATGACACTTCCAATGATGTAGACCACTCCGGATACTAGCAGGACGGGCTTGCGTCCGAATACACCAGCGAAATAACCCGTGAACAGGGCACCGAAGCTTTTCGTCCTGTCATTGAACTGCTGCGTTTATACAGCACAAGATTACTCACAAACATCCTGCTTGTAGCACCGCGACGATGTTCCCTGATAGATTCGCCTGCGCAGACGAAGACAGACCTGTCAAGCCAAAGTACTCTTGGAAAGACGGTAACGACAGAATGCCACCAATCAGACCAGTATCCCAGCCATAGAAGACCGAACCCATAGACGCAGAGAACGCGAGAGCATAGGCATGGCGGTAGCTGTAAGCGAGAGCGAGTTCCTGCTTGACACCCATGCTGCTAGACCGATGGCTCCAACGTTGTGAAGGTTGGATTCACGACGCAAACAGAGGCCGAAGCCGCGTAGCATTTTAAGTCTGCGAGGATGCGGGGCTCCGGCAGCGCGGTGGGGTCAGCTGGCGTGATGCAAATAGGAAGCGACGAGTGCATTGGCCCGGGTAGCATTTTATGGTTTGGAAGATGCCAAGATTAGGCAAGCACATTGGGCAGAACATCCTGGAAAGCACGAAGGACCGTCACTGTATAGCAAGAGCGGGTTGAGATAGCGTATACCAGGGCTACACGCTATGTTTGTCTCCCGTCTTTCCGCGCAAAGTCTCTCACCGCGTTCCATTCGTCGTCCATCTTGCTCGAGCATTGCGAAGGAGAATAGTTCCTCGGCCGGCATCCGTATCGACACTACATACTCACCTTCGACGGCGTCAGCTTTACCGTCATTAGCAAGCTCAAGCTCAAGCCAGTGGAGTCGTGGTAGCCCTGCAGAATGTACTAATTATATACCAGGGTGCACTGTTAGAAGAGCATCAAGGAACCCCTGTGCAGAAGTCGTACTTCGAATACTTATCCTTGTCCTTCTCAGGACTATCGAAAGGACAGAACATCAATGAACGCCTTTGGATCATCAAGTGGACTTCTCATTCCGAGTGGCATCTTTCTGGCCGAGCCAGCCGGGTCGACAGCAAAACCCTAGGGGAGACATGGAAGATCGCACATGGTGCCTTCGAAATCCCAGCATAATCGAACCTGGGACTTTCAAAGGTTCTTCAAGCAATCCGAATACGGAGCTAGTTAACTCTCAGGTCCGCACGAAAATCGATGCCGAGCGCAAATCTGGTTCCACGAGATGGTCGGCAGCGGGAATGTATATCGCATTCCTTATCTGACAGTATCCACGGATAAGACGCATTGGAAAGCTCATCAGTCAATATGATCACTGCCTCCATGGCCAGAGACATCCAAACCTACACGATCGTTCCGTCAATCCAAACCGACCTGTGGGTAAATGTGAAACTCACCGCAGGACCAAGCGACATAGCGGCGACGAACAAAGCGATCACGCATAAGGAAGCAAGCAAAGCAGTAAGCGACGTCGCCGCCATAAGGAGCGACTACGCGGGGATGTACTGCCCTTGAACAGAGGAGCAGGATGACAGGAAAGTGAATCCAGTATATGAGAGCGTGGATGATATGTAGGTTCCAGCAGAACCCAAGCCTACAATGAAGACGTCGAGTATAGCTGCCACATCAAATAAGTAGGAGCGATGACTTTATTGGGGTAAACGGAACGCACCATCATCAAGACAGCATCCCCAGACGCCAATCCTAACACTTCCCGCGATAAACGAATGCAAGAAACAAAACAACGACACAAATGGTACAGAGAGCGGTAAGTACTAAGCAGAATCCTGCGAGCCATTCCCGGGTCAATTTCGAGCCTGACGGGATGGCAAGCGACACGTACAGCAACCCAACCGCACCGACCGTTATCACGAAAACAGGGAATGCAAGTGTTGCCGTAGGCTATGAGTACGTCAACTCATAAAGTTCGTTGAAAGCTGTGCGCGTTCGTCGCAGCATGAACGAGGGCTCTTGATCCTTCTACTGCGCGGAGGCTCAAAGGAACGAGTAAATGTTTGTGCTGGCGTGCATTCAACTGCAGTAAGCGTCCAAACGGTATTGAAAGGAGGTAATCGAGCCTGTGGCTGCGGAGGCGCGTTGCCATCAATACGTCACGTGCACACGCCACAAACGCGTTTCGAGCGCCTAATGAGCGCGCCACTCCGCTACGGACGCGTCACAGCCATGCTCACAGTGCTAGAGGCATCACAAGTGAACACTACCACACAAATCTTATCAAATCTAGTAAACACTAGCGGCGCGTAATTACGCACCTTCTCATCATTCCATCGCTTCCCGGCACGCCTCGCGTCCACCTCATGCAAAAATTTCTCAAGATATCATACTATCGTAATTACATAGTGCATATTCCATATCCTCCCCGTACCAAATCACGCCCCTCAACAGCTCATGTACATGAAAAGGACGCGTTTGGCAAAGAGAACCCTCTCAAACAACATCGCGAAAGCAAGCACTAGACACAGTCGAAGCAGCTAATGTTACACAAAAAGGGGAAACAAAATGACTCATCATATATCACTTGAAGATGGAAGCGGAAGGGGAGCATGTTCCTCGGCCTAGCGTGGGTCCATAGGTAACAAGCGCAAGGACGGCCTTGCGGTTGCAAGAATAGACGCGAATACGATGAACGGCAGGCTGATCTGAACTGTGATGCAGATACGGGGCTACAACAGGCTGAACTTGCACTGGGGCTTCGTCGTACAACAGGGTCCATTCACCATAGTCCTTCTGTGCAAATAAAATTAACCTTGATGATGTTGTTACGTGGTTGTGTTGTCGGAAACCGAGAATTAAATAGGCTTCTATGGATGCTTCAAGAACAGAGCTATGAGGGGACAGCCGTTTCGTCGTCGCTCTGCCCACGTTAGCTGTCGACGAACCCTTCAGCCAGCGGACCGCCAGCGGATGCGTCGTGGCCCCCGCTGTCCCGGCTTTCCTGTTCAAAGAGCTTCTTCGCTGGCCTGGGACTCGACGGCACAATCTTCGTCTGCACCGGCTTCCTCGGTGTCCCAGGTGAAGGCGACATATTGACAAACTCGCGCAAGTTGAAGTTACCAGGCGTAGGCGGCTGTAGCTCGCCCTGCGTCGGGAAAATCGAGAGCGAAGAAGACGGACGTGTGGGCAGAGGCGACGGTGGCGGTCGCAATAAAGTCGCTGGGGTAAATGCAGTGCCAGACGAAGCAGCTTCTTCATTCTGGCTGCTGCCCTCCGTGGACTGCGTATCCGCAGGGGTGATGACAGGTATGGTAGACGAGAAGCTCCCGTCGTCTCTGGTCAAGGACTTCGCCTTCCGCGCGGTTCGGCTGGGACTAGCGCTGAGAGTGCCGCTCGACCCACTACCGCCAAACAACGACCGCGACCCGCCACCGC